TCAAATTGACAGTGTGTTTTCATCTAAAAAACGAGCGAATGACCATTCGTAATAACGATCTTTTCGCATGATTGGATTTTCCAACACGGTTCTATCCGTTGACAAACTTGATCGAGCAACGCCAATTGTAATACATTATCACTTGTAAACATTAATTTGATGTTGCGCTAACCCATAAAAATGAAATTCCATTTAAGGATTTATCAAACAACTCCATCGCGGGGTGGGTAGATGTAGATGAAATATCATGGTGCACCGACCCTAATCTTATCATATACTTTCTTCTTGTCTTAGAATTAGATTCGACGTTGAAACGCTTTTAAAAAACAGTGCCAAGAAAACGGATTCTGTTCGTATGGATTGACGCAAGAATCCTTATACTTATACCTGAATTATTTGAGAGGCAATGGCTTGCAACTATTTTACACGGCGATATCAACTTTCGTTTGCCCTGCCTAAAATACGATTACATTTTTCTTAACTCCAAAGTTTATGCGGCGTGAATACAGCACACGCGGAAAAAAATATTTTTTTAATTGTACCACATCACATAGCAATTAGAAGAGACATTCAAAATATTTATTTATTCAAAGATTTATTTATTCAAAAGATTCATTTATTAATAAATCTTTTTTTAATCCCCTACAACCTATTTTACCTTAGCCCAGGGGTCGGCAACCTACGGCCCGCGGGCCGCATCCGGCCCGCGACGCTTCACTAATCTATAGTAACAAAACATCCGTTTTGACGAATATATTCTTTAGACTAAATTATATTATAACCTAACAATCATATAATTCCCAATTACTCGTTTAATGAGCATGTAATTTAAGCAAATGGCAGCAAAACGCAGAAAAGTTGATGCTAAGTGCAAAGGGTTCAATGGCGCTGAAAATATTCAAATGGAATTTTATGAGATGCAATGCGGAAATAAATCTATATTCTATTCGAGAGATGTATCACTGCTTGATTTTTATTATAAAAAGTACCATCCGTTCGGTTTTTTAACTTTATTAAAATATGTGCGGCCCGCCAATGACTTGCAACCTTAATTTTGGCCCGCGAGCGACAAAAGGTTGCCGACCCCTGCGGCGTAGCCTATATACATTGCAATTTCTAGATATTATAAATTTTCTGGTTAACAACGCGGCGCAAAAAGTGCATCAACAGGAGCAGTAATGTATATAAGGCACACCTTGTCGCGGTTGACAGATTCAGCTCTTGCAAACCCCGGCTAGAAAATCAGAAATAGGCGTTTTGTTAACTGCAGAACGTTTTGTATGAGTTTGATCGGTAGTAGTATATATTTACGGGTTGATGGGCAGTGAATGCAAAAATGATATTATGCAATACCAACACACTGATGATGTGCTGAATAAATACATCATGATAGAAATTATATTCCTAACATAGTAAACAACCGATAGATACTGTGCAATCATTGGTCACTCCAAGTTTCATTGTATACCGTAGTTGCTAATTATTTGTAAAATTTCTATTTTTCCACAAAAAAAGGTTTTATATACGGATATTTTAGAGAATACCTAATGACATATAGCCTGAGTGTTTTTCTGATTGTTTGTCTAATTCTTTAGAATTTTCGTTTTCCATATAAAATGATAATGATGGATAAATTGATTATTTTTATTGTATCTTATGACTACTGATAATGGAAAGATGTGTTTCAATAGTCACTGGGTTACATAGATCGCCATTTCACGAACGTGGGCGCAATTTAAGAAAAATATATGGGATAAAATGGGAAAACCTATCTGGATTATTTAATATTTGTCATTATTTATCTTTGTATTGTATACTTATACACTTTATAATATCACCTAGAATCCTAGATCACCTGGGCGTCATGCAACTAAATTGAAATAATTTATTTGAATAAACTAAAACTATCATATTCATGAATCCGAATTGGCAAGCAAAAAAATGTTTTGCGTCGAATAGTTCCGACATATGCTGAGTAGGCCTACTGGCAAACATGCTGACATGACTTCGTTTGGATTGAATTAATGATTAAATATATAGGCTACCCTATTTGTCGACTCACCTGCTTACGAGCTTATGTTGCCAGTCCAGATGTATTTTGTTTTATGATAGTATTATGGAAGTATTTATGTATTAAATGTGATTAAACCGGTTTGTTGAATACAAAGTTAAAGCGGTCGGTACGGTATGTAATCGAGCTATTATTGTTAATCGGCTTATGTTGTTACGGTCGTAGTGTAATATCGTAATAGTATAGGGTTACCATATTTGAAAAAGCAAAATTCCGGACAGTGCATGACTATGTCGCACAACCTTAGTCCTAACCGGTACACAGAAAGTATGTTCAGGTTGTGCGCCATCTTGGTGCGCATACTTGTTTCTGGAGGTCCCTATTTTCATGAGACCATATATATGCGCTACCGAAATGCTAAGGCTGCAAACGTTGTACGATACTCATGCTAAAGCGCCAGCTACCAAATGAAAAGTATTGTCTTCAGTCACAAGCAGAATCTCACATCAGGCAGGTAAGCACACTCTAAATATAGCTACGGGCCGTCGACTGGAAAAATCTCAACTTCAGAGTGAAAAAATAAGAATGAGAATTAGATTGTGCCGAAACGGAAGAACAGCAATTACATGCTTAAAACAAATTAAAGACAATCACTACAAATTTACTCTTCTGGCCATGCATATTTTTCTGGAGATCTAATTCTCTTCTTGTCTGATTTCAAAAATGAAAACAATTCACTACAGTGCATATCATACGGTATGGCAACCCTATAATAGTAGTCATAGTCAAGTTTTAACGGTAATGCATAAGGGTACGGTTTTCCAGATTGATTGGTATCAACCCTGGGCCCGTCGGAGTAAACGCTGTAACTCCTTAAATTAACGCAAAACAAAAATCTGATATAAAATGAGAGCCGAAACTGCTTGGATAACGAGAAACAAAAAATGTGATGTGAGTATAAAAAAAGTCTGCTTGACGCTGAATGAAAATCAGTTTTACCTACTCAATTTTCCATTGAAAGAGAGAGAGTGTGTTTTTGAGAAAGAGTAATCAGGTCTCGTTTCCCTGAGCCACGACTTCCTTAACATCGGCCAATCAGCAAGATGTAAAAAGTGACGTATCAATAGACCTTTATTTATCCGCTCAGACATTTTTTTGTCACTCAGACAGATTTTCATGCGCGATCGTAAACATTGCCTCGTTTTCGCGTTTTTTTATTTCATCAGTTAGTTTTCAGTTGTGTTTCGGAAATTTAAGTATAAATTAATTAAATTCAATGATTACTTTGTCTACTTAGAAGTTTCAGTTTAATTGCAATAATCAAAAATTAGTGTAGAAAAAACTGCGTTAGACAGATTGTTGAGTGCTTAGAATCAGAAGGATGATTTGAAACATATACCGGTACCGGTACCGTATCCAGTTTTACAGGCGCCAACTCGCGAAACCACTGTTAAAATGAGCCCTAAAAATATTGCAATGGTAGAATATCGGAAGAATTATCCGAGAGTCAAAGGTCGGCAAGACGTACAGATATTTATTTTTGAAAAAAAATTGGGCATCGGCAACTGAGCATATTTTCCATAGAGGTACGGTATATAACTTACATATGAAATATGGAAAATAAATATTGGAAACAAGTATAAAGAGTTATGTTGGAAGTTAATTCATAATGGGTTGCCCACTGGAGACAAAATAAAACACTGGTTCATTGATGAGCCAGGAATGTGTGTCTTATGCGAAAATAATGTTGAAGAAACTGTGTGTCATTTATTTTTAGAATGTGACTGGTCTAGTGATTTTTGGCAATGGTGTTGAATAGGATATAGGATAGGATATACATATTCATCCCGGGGGAGAGGAAAGCCGATAAGACGGCTTATCCATATGGCGAACCACGGCCTCTCGTCCGGTTACCATTCCAAGTCGGATACACCGGTATGGGATTAGTTATATTGTTTGTTTTCGGAAGCATGGACTTGGTGGTGGAGGAAGCCGTAACCGACCAGCGGTTACGTGAACCACCCAACGACGGCGAGAAGTCCAGCAATCCTCTCGCACATAACCATCCCTGCATGGGATTCGAACCTGCGAACCCACGCAGAGTAATTAGAGGTGCGGTGGCGAGCGTATTCCTAACGCTCAGCCCGTTGAGCCACACCGCCGCGCCAGATATTAATCAAAATACTATTATAGCAAACGATTCGGAATGCAAATCAAAATTAATCACAATATTATGCGGAAAATCAACAATTTGGGAATATCGAAATTCAGTAAAATATGATGAAATAGATAAAATGAAAAGTAGTATGCATTCAATTTTCAAGTGTAAACTGGTCGGGATTTTAAATTTACTAAAAGCAAGCGAAAGAAAAGAAATGAATTAGGCTATTGTTATATGAGCACATGGATGATCTTTTACATAGGTCAATCATGATGTAAGTTTATATGCAACACCATACTCTGAAAATTATTGAAAGTATGTTATTCGTACATCATTTTCATAAGAGGAAGATGTATCGACTATGAAACATAGATGGCGAATGGGAAAAACCCAATATGAAAGCGTGGATTTTTCCATATTCTCTGTCTAATTTTTGTATTCTTGTATTTTTCATGCTAACTAAAAAATTAAAATAAAAACTGATTACCTGTAAATTAAAATTATATTCAACTATCTGCTGATTGGATTACATGTGGATTAACTCAACTTTTTTGGACATATATTGGATTATATTAAATTAACGACATCATGGTAATGGTATGAATTTTGTCTTTATTTTGATTTTTACTATTCATATGTATTGGGGGGAATGGGATTAAATTAAAAAACGATAAACAAAAACATGGAAACAAAAAAAATATCTATTTATATATTTATAATAAAATGATTTGATACCAAAATATTAATACGAAAATTCCGTTTGGCATTGGAATTTATTTGGCACAACAAAAAAAAAAGGTATATAACTTACACCTCAATGATACTTTCACGTTAATATTACTGCTATACTGAGTTGCCGGTGCGGTACCGGTACGGTACATTTTTTGTTTGGCGTTATTTAATGGGCACCGTACTTCGCTGGACCCGTCTGCCCGTTAACATATCTTATTCTGGCACTGGCAAATTGATTGAATTTCAGGACAATCTGGACAATCTAGTAATGATACGGTGTCGGTACCCGTAACGCCGACGGTAGTGTATTATCTTCATCCTAATTTATTTATCTTTACCTTCATCTCAATCTGGTAGATAATCTAAATTCATAGAAATAGACTAGGTAGACTACCGGTATGGAAAATTATGAGCTTGTAACGAATATTGGTAAAGGATCAAGTGGTTACGTTTTTCTTGCAAAAAGTTTGAAGACGAAGGTAGGTGTTACGTAGGTAAGCTTTCATATGCTGCAATTGCGGCGCACTTTACAGATCGACAGACATTGTCTCGTTTCAGAGAATACCGGTACCATTTTGTAGATGAACAAACCCTCTCCTTTGCTTTGGGGGACGTCTGGAGTCTGGACATTGTTGTCCCTCAATACAAAACATTTTTATGTTTGTTTGTTATGGAGTTTTCGAAATAAACCATCTATCTAATATCGGTAAAAATACAGTAAAATGAATTTGTGCAAAAAACTACAAAGAAACGCAATCTAAAAACTTAATCATGGAATTCCTTGGGAAATAATAATCCGTTCTGAGCCTACCGAAGGAAAATTTTTTCTACTGTAGCATTCAACTGTTTAGCAAAAAACGGCAATTTTGTTGACATGATGACTGCGATTAATTTTGATTATTGTTGAAACATGTCGCGATATGACGCATCTGCCGCCATGCCAGATGCCCTTTGTTTGAGATACACATGGCTGCATGGAGTGTTTTATTGAACTAAAATGACGGGACAATCTTGGAATTTGGATAGTGTGCCATACGTACTGTGCTGACATGGGTCTCCCTAAAACCATGACCTGATGACAGTCGCCAAATTTTTCTCCATATTTTCTATAGATTGGTTTTGTCAGAACTTGCTATACTTTGCATTTCGAATCAAATTGTTTTTACTGAGACAGTTTGAACATTTTCAATAATCCAAGCATCATTCCTGTTTAACAGAATCTAAGGTCGATCATCTCGCCTTTGTGGTTTATTTAAATTGGAATATCAATTAAATCATGGCAACTCAGAGGACAAAATAAAAAATCAGGCACTTGAGAAATTTCAGGCACTTGATGGTTTGCTACTTTTAGAATGCTAATTGGTAGCACTAACACTGATGTATTTACCGTAATTCACTTTTAACCAAATATTTTTCCAACAACGAGACAAAACAAGTAATGTCACGGAATGACAAAAAGTTGAATGCATAAAATGACTGCGAAATATCAACCAAATTTCGTAAAAAGTGTCATGACATATCATGTATAATAAATTGTTTTGGTATTCTAGAGCTATTAGTCTCTACATTTACCAGCAACATTTTTTGTACAACAAACATTTTTCTGGAAGCAGCTAAATATACAGCTTAACTAGTTGCATGTGACTTCGTGACAAACCAAAATATTTATTGTAAACAGAGGTATCATACTTTATTTTAAAATCTGAAGTTTTATAAAAACTTGGTTAAATTTGGTAGTTTAATCAATAGTTGAAGATGTATGGAAACACAGAAGTATGGATACACAACAACCATGATTTAATGGATTTTTCAACTGAATATTCGTTACTATTATTTTCATCGCACAGTAAAAAAAATTTAATATAGTGTAGTAATTCTATCCAATTGAAGAGTCCAGCTGTACACTAACACAAACTGCTTGTCTGAGGAAGTCTGACTCTGGTCAGACGAAACGTTACAGAAATACATTTGTGTTAGTGTGCAGCTGGACTCTTTAATTGGATAGAATGGTCATGTTTATTCCAGCTACAGTATCCTTGCAGTATACGCATACGGATCCACTAGCATAAAGGCATAGAGAAAAGATAGGAAGTTAGTCTCGCGCAACCCAACTCAAATTTAGTGTAGTAATTGTTGTGAATATTTATTTAATATTGCTTTATTTCTTAGAAATTAACTGCAATCAAAAAGATTGAAATTGATGAAAATCGCAGGTCAAGATGCAAAAAATCAGTAGTACTTGAAGCATCGATACTGCGACGCCTCGTCCATCCACATATTGTTGAATGTGAGGAATGGTTTTTGGATAATGAGGTGAAACTATTATCTTTTATTAGATATTTAGGTAAAATCTGTTGAGTTAATTCACCTTGCCATCAATTCATATGGCTTGAAAAAATATACATTTTCACCACATGTTGTCACCACAAATAACAGAATATAAAGTCAGACTTGAGACGCATGTTGCCTCTGCCTAACCAAAGTACCGAATGACGTCTGGAGACCAGCATGGCAGTATTTATACCCAGAAAGCATGCTTCCGAATTGTCATCATGCCATACCATACCTGGACAAAATGTAAATAAGAACACAAGTTGACACTTGGGGGTTGGTCCGTCTCTGTTCCTGATTATTCTCGATATATAATGGAATTGTGTGTGTCTTAATCTAATGTTTTTTTTATTCATTTGGTTAAGACTTCTTTCCTAATAAATTATCTCAATTACAGAAAAAAATGATGAACATTGTACTTGAATACTGTGATGGAGGAACAATGCAGGATATGGTGAAACAAGCAAACATCAAAAATTCTTATTTTCCAGAAAACAAGGTCATTGTTGTTATCCTAATATGATTTTTTAAGTTTTTTTTTTCTGTGTTAAAAGTACCATTTTCAAGTCTCATGTGACATATGCCTCTTATGCTGGTATAACCCTATTTTGTCATGTAGGCTATAATATTAGGAGCTTATGGGACAGAACTTGTGAAAATATTAAATATCAACCTAGGTACTAAAGTGGATGGCACAGATAGTATCTGCGGTTTCATACATGCATAGTAAGAAGATTTTGCATAGAGATTTGAAGACTGAGAATGTTTTCATTGTGAAGTAAGATTATTAATTCACATGTGATATATTTTTCACTATTTGGCAATTTTCAGCCTAGACATACTGCTGTTACAAAAAATCTTACATGAAAAATTCGGTAAAATATACTTTTATACATTCATTTATTTAAGCAATACTTATCCATTTGATCTTCAAATCAGAAAAAGATCAGTAGGCCAATATGTTTCGCTTTTTAGTTCAGTCATTGAATGACCAGCAGCAGCAGCAGCAAATATTCTGTATCTGTTTTAGGCCAGATATTGCGAAACTGGGAGATTTTGGAATATCTAAGGAGTTCGACCACACATTGGACTTGGCTCAAACATGTGTTGGAACACCTTGTTACTTGAGTCCAGAACTTTGCCAGGATATCCCATACAATTCAAAGTCTGATGTTTGGGCACTCGGTTGCTTGCTTTTTGAAATGGCTGCTCTCAAACCAGCGTTCGATGCAGCCAATCTTGTCAGCTTATTTTATAAAATTGTAAAAGGAGATTTTACATCACTGCCCAAACATAGCTCACAGGATATGCACGAATTGATTGCACTAATCTTGCAAAAGGACCCTGAAAATAGGCCAACCGCATCAAAACTTTTACAACATAAAGCATTATCATGCTATGCAGAAAAAATTTTGTATTCTACGAAAAAAATAAACAACCGAAGTGTAGAACAATATCCACAAGTAAGGAAGTCAGACATTGACATTGAATTCATTCAAAGCTCAACCTTAATAACAAATGCTGATGTGGAGAGAAGAATGAGCCCTGGGCCTTCTTATGCCTATAATATGTTTCTATCTGGTATAAATTCGAAACCAATGCTTGAGTCCAAAGATAATTCCACACAGTTTTCTGATCTAGTAAATAGGTCAAATTCTGTGTTGGGAACCAATTCAAAGAACAAACAAAACTCAACTGTTCCAAAGATATTTGATTATGAAGCAAACCAGTCCGGATCTCCGATACCTCAAGAAGTTGAAACAGCGCGACCCCAAACATGTCCACACTCAGCCTCAAAAGCAAGACATATCAAAGGTTTGCTATTATTACCATTTTGGGTTTCTGCCCCCAGTAAGCTATAAAAAAAGTGAGTAAAGGTAGTTGTTTATCACTAAATTTGTTGTCCTTTGCTGTTACATATCTTGCAGTAGCTGCCTCTTAATCATTGTTTTCGATTAAATATTTTTTATGTCTCGATTATTATACAAACTTCCATAACAGAAGAATTGGATTTCAATGATACAGTTGTGACGTGGTCCGGATACGGAGATCAAGGAAGTCATAGTAGAAGGAAAAGATGTGATTCTGTATCGTTATCTAGTGGAACAGATGAATCCTCTGATATTGATACACAAGTGAGAGAATCAGGAAAGATTGGTATAAGGTATTATACTATATAGTTGAATTTTATTGGCCAAATAAACTTTTAATATAATTTTATTTATTATTCTATACAACTTTGCTCTAACCAGGGGTCTCAAGCTCTCAACTTGAGTGAAAAAATACGAATAGATTATCTGATGCAGTATGAACACGAGGTTGTGTAAACAAACAGTTTGAAAAGCTATAGTATCTGGTATAGAAATCAGTAATCGCTGTCCAAATCTGTTAATGTAATCCAGTTCCGAAGTTCCTTAATGAGATGAGAAGTTTTTTAACAGGTATTGTGATGATGAAGAAAAGTCAGATAGTAACATATCCTTTGATGAAAATTCAGATTATGATGATGATGATGATTTTATACAAGATGAGCAAGTTGGTAAGTAATAAGTTTAGAAATAATTGAAATTGATGATATCACCAAAATAAGATGACCACTTCAGACTTCTCATGCCAAGCTCATTGGACTGCAAAAGTACGATTATGTGTGATAGTCAAAGCCTTTGTGATGCAATCAAGTCGACAAAAGCTGTATCAGAGAAACGTCTCAGGATTGACATTTATGGTTTAAAAGAAATGGTTTCATCCCATCAAATCTCCTGCATAAAGAAACTTCCGAGTGATCAACAATTAGCAGACTGTTTGACTAAGAAAGGAGCATCTTCACACGAACTGTTAAATGCATTATGTTAAACTTTTATTTGAAATTGGAAATTGGGGAGATTGTTAGCTGTATTTCTGGCAACTAGCATTTTCCCAGGTGGTTGAGCATGACCTTTGATGTCATCAGTTTCAGGTGACTGATCATGACCAACCACCTGTGAAGGTGATTTGGCCATGTGCACAGAGTAGTCTGGAGCACAGCTCAGTTGGAGGGTGTTTATGTCTGTATGTGTTACTTTGGTTATTGCTTTGGACATTTATTCGCTGTATAATTAAGACATTGATTAAATATACTTTGGAGTCGCTTTAACAATGTGAACTTCTTAAAAAAATGATGTTATTATGTGCAGGGGCGCAGCCGGGATTTTTTCAACGGGGTTTGCGGTGAATTCAAAACAGTGAGCCAAAAGTGCAATTCCAAACCTTTTTTTCTTTTTTTTCAATTGTTAATTAATGTATTTTTCCCGATTACAAAAAGTAAAACATATTATACTGAAACGTTTGCAAATAAAGTTAAGCGATGTTTGCGCTTATTTGCAAGGATCACTCTTGAAGCATTTCCAGATTCTGTGTTACATCTGCACCAGAAATATAATAATACATTTTATTTATTGAGTATAATTCTATGCTCGGTTCAATGACAAATATACCAACTGGATATTCTCGCAGTATGTCAAGTTGCAGCAGTCAAAAATAGATAGTGTAGGCCATCTAGGTGCACCCTGTGGTAGTCTGTTTTACATTTTGGCAATCAAAGGATAGCTTCTATTCATGTTGCTTTTCGCAATGACTATAATCCAAGAATAATATCAGGAGACAGATGCTGAATAGCTTCATATAAAGCTGGTATTCCGGACAAGTCAGTAATTTTTTATAGGTTCAGTTGAGGGTGCTGCTGAAATATTTGCATGGGTTACCACACCAGGTTCATATGTTGATTTTTCAATTGCGGCAATGTGTTTTATATTTTTACATGTTTTGTTTGACTAGTAAATTCCATTAATTTATATCTTTCCTTTTTTTAAAGCATAGTGTCTTTGATTTTTTGGTAGGAATCTCTTCACTTTTTTCAGTTTTATCTGTATCAACTGCATCTTTGGTTAACGTCTTGCTTTTTGCAGGCTTTGCATGATAAAACACTGATCTAAGCTCTTAATCAAATAGCGAATATATTATTATATATCATTTTTCCGACTTGTGACAATTTTTTCGTGATATGAATCAAAAATAACTATATTCGGCACAATACCACGGCAGTCTGTGGACATGAATTGTGTACTAAACTGCGTGATTATTATTAATTTTTGGTTCCTATTTTCGTATTTGAAAAATAATAAAAGTATTATTACTCTAAAATACAATGGTGATCTGTCGACTTAAAATGTGTGGTGAACTACCCGATTATGATTAATTTTTGATTCATATTTTCATACTCACGAGAAAATTGTCGCAAGTCCGGAAAATAATATATACTTTATCCCGCATTTTGGCAAATGATTTGGATAAGGGTTGATATTTAGGAGTATGGACTTTTTACTGGGATGATTTTGTGTTGCGCAAAATAATCAAACCCATGACCGATGCCACTATTTAAAATGACTTGTCGTATTAATTTAATACTGTTAACGTAACTCATGGTTGCGTCGACTTGGGAAATAATTAGAAGCAGTATTATTCTAAAATATATATCGCAGTAATCTGCAAACATGAAATGCTTGGTAATATAGCCAGGTTGTAGACAGGGATGGCCATTTCCGAATACTAAACTATTCCGAATACATTCTAAAATCGAAAATAACACATTGTTTTAGTTTATTAAAACCCAGTAAAATAGGAAATAAGCTTCAATAGAAATATCAGAATAAAGCCACAAACTAACAGTATATGTACACAAAGTAATTGATAGTTTATAGCTATCAATAAAAATAATAGCAACTTGTGACACAGTCAGTTTATTAAAATTGTACACTTAGTACAAATGACCATATGAAAAGATAGCCAAGGAGTTGTCTGCCGCTTTCTATCATTGGTACCATGATATTACGATAATAGTCAAGTCTATTGACAGAAATACTATTTGTATTCAGATAATTGTGTATATTTTCTGAGAGTAATAAAATTCATTGGCAATACAGGCAACTGAAGCAAGCAACAATGATCGAATATCCATTATGCCTAGAGTATTCTACTACCTACCAGTATATTTGTATATTAATTTTTTTTTTTTATATTAATTTATGCGAACCATATTGTTTATTATGTGTAGCATATTGTTATATCTGAAATTAGCAATCAGTTAGAGCAGCGTTTCCTAACCTTTTTTGGTCGCGGACTATATTCTCACTGGCAAAAACCTTTGCGGACTCGACGTGAGTTTATTGCAACCGTACTCTGTGTGAAGTAATAAAACCAAACACAACAGAATTTTACCGAATCTCAAAATCGGAAATGCTACGCAATTACGCCTTTGTTAAAAGGGCCGACTTCTTTAGTGTATAAATGGCCTTTTCTGTCGCACAATATTCAATCCTTGACAACGACAAGAATGTAAAATGTGTTCTTATTTTAATTTAATTTTGTTCATGGTCACTCGCGGTTGCGTTGACTTATGACAAGATGAAAGCATTACTTCTTTTAAATGCCACGGCAATCTGCGAACATAATAATGTGAGAATATACTGCCCGGTTATATTCAGTTTTTATATAAATTATTTGCGATCTTGCGAATTTGTTATCGCCGTTGTACAACTTGATTTAGTACTTATTAAAAATATAATTAGTATATTAGTGAATAAAAAAAAAAAATATTCATCGCCTTGCTTTAATATTAATTTAGTTGTGATCATTTGTTGATCTGCGGTTGTGTTGACGATATTTTCAGTATTTTGTATTGCCGCTTTTCAATTTAGAAAATTTAGGTTGCACCATTGACACCTACCAGAAAAATTATTCCTCGAACAACAACGACTAAATCCAATCGTTTGATTAATAAACGACGCGCAAGTGACTTGTCGCGTCACCTGTTACCAAATTTTCGAATAATAAATTGCTATTCTAATAGTTGAATATTCGAATATATGCCAAGCCCTACTCATTCAGTATCCAGAAATTATTGACTCGATTAATGTTATATAAATAAACTTGCTTTTTATGTTTTATGTAAATTCAAACGTAAATCGTGGCTGATGGTTAAGTTTTGCAAAAACGTTTGCGGCCCGCAGTGAATTTCTGACTCGTTGCGGACTCATTCAAACGCTCCACAGACTCATTTGAGACCGCGGGCTTGGGTTGGGAAACACTGAGTTAGAGGATAGATGACCACCACTGCCAGGCGCGCAGCCACGATTTTCAAAATCGGAAATTCCCGTTGCCGCCTGTAACGCCCGCCGCGATTTCGTTCCGTCTTTTCAGGGTATAATGATCATCTTGTCACGTAAAATATTCAATCCATGACAACTACAAGATTCTAAAATATCTTTATATATTAATTTTATGAGTCTAACGTAACTCACGGTTGCTTCTTCATACCTCAAAATAAAAACATTACCATTCGGTCCACGGCGATCTGTGGTCTAAAAGTACGAGATAAACTGCCTGATGTATTTAATTTTAATGCGTATTTTTGCAATCTTGCCAACTCGTTATCGCCGTTAGAAAAATCTCAATATCGCCGTTAGAAAAATCTCAATAACTGATAGAGTACAACTTCATTACATATAAAGTATAGCAGTAGATTAAAAATACTTATTGATCGACGCGATTACTCCAACTGTTAAAATAGCCGAACAACGAATATATATTTTTCTGTTGTGCAAAGTGATGAATTCGTGACCGATATGAGCATATTTAAAATGTCTTTCTTTATTAATTTAATTGTTTTAAATTTAACCTGCGGTTGCGTCGACACAATAAAATCCTCACCACTCTAATATACCATGGCATTCGCTGACATAAAAATAAAAATGTGTGGTAAACTGCCCGATTATATATTGTTTGGATTCGCATTTTGCGAATTCGGTAAATCTGAGATGTGTATCACTGACTCTGCTCAATCGAAATGCCGCCACTCCGATTATTTTTAAGATAAAAAACCGTTCGAAAAATCCATAAATCTGCCGTAAAATCTCAGAGTAAAATTTATTTCAGCACAATAAAAAATGATTGTATATACTTTAGATTAATTATATTATATACATTCTCACAACCCGGGAAAAAGTCGCGTTGTAAAAAACATTGTATAATGTTAACACGCAAATTTTCGACGGCAGTTTAATTAAAGTAATGGATAATCACTAATCAGGCAAATCCCGCCCTCAATTAGTGACAATATGTTTCTAAAAGCGGGCGAAACATAATGTGTGCCAGACTCCAGAGGCACACGAAATTTTGCGATTTTCACTGCCGTATTTTAAACTGTCGCGGGCCTCATTAAAAACTATTTTGTTTACGGTTTTATTTTCAGTATTTTAAATTGCCGCTTTTCAATCAAAAAATTTGCGTTTTCTTTAGAAACTCGCCGCCGAAGAACGTATTCATCGGATTCACAATTCTGTGCGAATATAGAAATAAAATATTTGTCATCGTTATCGTGGAACAAATTTGTGGAAAATTTGCGTTTTAGAGAAAATAACACAAACGTAAAGACGTTTACGGCCTAAATAACATGTTCGCAGATGAAAGTAATCGCGCGCAAGTTTCTATCGAGAATGTTTTCATTCAACGGAAACGTCTTGAAAAAATGTGTGACGTCACACAAATATCCGATATTCTTATGAACGCTAATTCCGATATTCGAATACATTCGAATACTTTATTCGAATTGGCCATCCCTGGGTAGATAACAGGTATTCCATTGTTTATTGTATGCAATTCCATTGTTTATTGTATGCAATTCCTTCATACACTATAGATAAGCTTCTTTTACTTGATTTTATTTTTGAGTGTATTCTAAATAGTGAACTATTTGGTATTGGCCATCCCTGAACCCACCCTTAATATTTGGTAAAAAATTAAATAACAACCAGTGGCGCACTTGCGTAGTACCACAGGTAATTATTCTTTCACAAAGGAATATAAATCCTTCTTTGAAATGAACAGGAGTAAACTCTTTGCGAGGCTGTTTTCTAGAACTGACTGCTTTTAGTCAGTAATTACAACTTTGGGCATTTCAAAAATTTGCTGACGTGATTCCAAAATTACCCAAAATCTTGATGCTTGAAAATGTTATCTTCACAATATTTTCTGTAAATTCATTAGTACCACTAGTGGTCTGAAGTATTATAATATAGAAATTTTCTCCAAGGTTGATGATTAATCACAGATTTAGAACTTGGCTGGTAAGGACATCTCATTTACTTTTATTTATTTTCTATTTCACCATCAGAAGATGACATTCCAGAATGTATTGATGATCATGATGATGAGTTGAGTGGAGACTCAACACATATCTGTGATGAAAGGAAAGCAGCAGGTGACAGTCATGTATTGCCTGGTAGTGCATGGCTAAGAACAAAACGTATGAGGGTTCTGCAACAGAATAAACCTGGAGGTACTTGTTTCCTTACTTCTTCAAACCTCCTAGGAATAATTATGTATGAGAATACTTCAAAATGACATTGTTTGTCATATTGTCAAGCTTTCTTATCAATCTTTACTCTTTCTTGAGATGAATATAAGAAATCAACTTATCTGTACTTTATTTTAAGTTGTGTATCAAAATTATCAACAACATGTTTAATCTATATTGTGGTATTATTGTGCAATATTGCCCGGCCAGTATCATTCATAGGGCTATATGTCCACTCTTGCTGATTATTAAAATTGCTGTTTATGAAATATCCATCATTTTCTTGATGCCACCATTTAATGGTTGATTGGTTGTCATGGGTGTCCTTGTATAGAGAGAGTTATGACCTCATTTTGCTTCAAATTCCCCCAAACATCTCGATTTTTGAGTAAGTTACCTCTTTGTACAAATAAATGCGAGAAGTTGGTAACAACTACTGAGATTTGTCTCTGTCTTATTCTGAACAAGGTATAAAATAAATGTATATATTCGATTTTGGTCAGATCTCACAAATATTTCTGAAAGAAATCAAAACAACAATAATATCAAGAATTTCAAGAAAATGAAGGCTCGACTCCCTGGTAGTTCATGGTTGTCTCTGAAACAACGTTCTGATCATCATATGGAAAGCAGCTCGGATGATGCAATTGTTCTTGGTGGAAATAATGAGAGCAAAGTTGTTGTTAAACGTGGGTTTCTTTCAATTAACACAAGATCCACATTAAAATAAACTTCTTCCATTTATAGTAAACAGTTTCTGCTTTGGCCTGAGTTTTCGCCTTTTTCAGTATCTCACACTGTTTACCATACTTTCTTGTAAGTGGTTCTTTTGTTTTCCAACAAATCATTATTACTTGCTATGATAAACTTAAAATGAAGATATCTGATTCAATGCTTTCAATAAGTTGTCTCTAATTGTTTTTCTTGTAAAATATATTGGGTTGACATTTATTTTTAAAACAATGCCTTGTTTGGAGTCAACTTGGAATAATGCATTGTAGTTAGAAATGACTAGTGTTATGATTATCACAAAATTGTGAATTGTCTTCTTTTCATGATGGAATCAGAATCAGCTAAAATCTGTTGAGCATGCGATAAATTGACTATTGGGAGGATTGTCTTCAATCCTTTCATTGTCTCACTGAGATTCACAACGACATCGACCTCAAACTTCGATCTGAATTCATGAATTTCATTCGTTATCTTGAGGTATATAGTTGCAGATAAGCTGCACTTGTCGATGTCTAAGCTGTCGATATTTTGAGGAGTTTTATTGTATCTAACATTGTACTCTGCTAAATGTAGGAAAAGAATCCAAGTGTCGTCATCAGAAGAGGAGTGGAAAATTTCGAAATCTGCCTGGCAGTGCGTGGTTGAAAAAGATTGATTCAGGAAATCGATCTGAAAACAGTGATAACACTGGCATTTCATTACCAATAGGTATCATCATACATATATATCTACATTCTATATTTTTAATTAATGACTCAAATAGATCATTTGTATTCAATTGAAATCTCATTATGGCATCATTCAATTTCTGAAAAAAACACTGAAAAAAAAATCATTGTTCATCTTGACTTTGCAGCATTTCTAAAACCAAACTCATTGAATATGCATTGATTTCTAATTTCTATGTGTTCGATGTTGAACATGATTTAATTTAGAATAAATTTTGTAACCCATATTCTTAAATGGCAGTGGTATGAATCAATATATGTCTCATTGCCATTTTTATCACAGCTTTTCATATCAAGTTGTAAATTGTACTGGAAAAGCTTTTAGTACTTGTGGACCACTCCCTGTTCACCATTCTAAAAATATGAACGTACTAGAGTCTATTGTGTATTTACCTTTTTATGGTAGATAAAAACAAATTAAATGCTAGCAAGGTCGAAGGTAATGTGATAGTGGGTTTGAAAAAGAAGCTATAACATCCCTATTCATGACTAGTCTACTTTTGTCACAAAAAGAAAATGTTTAATTATAGATCCAACAAAGTTTTGTTATAAGAAAACTCATTAAGCAGATGTTAACTGTTACAGAATGCCTTGCAGCACATTTGTTTGCATGTTTCGAAAAAAATGTACAGTTCAGCCACGCATAACAAAAAAATCAATCGCTGCTGTATTACTGTATATATATTATATTACATTTTTATATTTATACTGGTGAGAGACAATACCTCAAATTAAAAAGACTGTTTGCATAGTGTTTACTTCCATAATTTGACAGAACCAACGTCATATTTTCAAAAACAAGATCATGCAATCACATTGAAAAGCTGTTCAAGCTGCAGTGCAAATAATTTCAGTATTCCAGAAAAGAAGTGAGTATGCTCATCACATTGACATGACACTAATCAAACAAAACTGGCCGCCTTTTGAATGTTTTCATTCTTCAAAAAATGATACGATAGCCTGTCCATTAATCATGTGAAAATGATAGTGATTAAAAGGGTATCCTATTGCTGTTGATTGTCATATTATTGTTCACAACCAAGAAACTGTGTATTTGAAGCTTTTTAGATATGTTGTTTTTATTGAAGCATTAGTATTTGGATCCAAAAGCTATCAGTAGAATTCTTCTTGTCGACTGCTGAATTTCTTTATGTATTCACATTTAGGCTTTCAAGTCATGATCCAGGAAACGATAGTGATGAATATTCATACTCTGATGATTTTGAAGATGATTTTGAATTTTCAGGTACAATCTTGTTTACAGCCAAAGACATAACATACTTGTATTAAACTAGTGATTTCGCTGTTTGGAAACGCCATTTAGTTACCAGCCCGAGACAGCTATAGGTATAGTAGTTACCCTTTTGATTGTCCAGATGCATGGGCATGCATTTTCATGGAAAGGAGAAATTAACACGTCCTAATCATGTGAAATACTCTTGTCAGGGAGGGCGAACATTTTTTAATAAATGGGTCAAAAATTATATTTTTATCACGAAACAGAAGAGTGCGGGTCACAGATATTCAATTAATGTCCACATCAATAAAAAACTTGCTGTTGTATTATAATCAATTGTTGTTATTGTATAGTTTTGAGTTTATACATGCTGCACTTTGAAGTAACAGGACTGAGGCTATTTCTGGTACCCGATTTTATAAAATTGTGAAACCTTGTTTTTCGCACACATATGAATGACCGAAAACATTCATGAATATCATTACTATGCTTATGTTATTTATGATTTATTTCTGTTCGTCTGTTTCACTGATAATAACAACTTACACTCGAATTTGATCTCACTTTGTGGCAATTAGTTTTCGCAACAATTCATTCTGTTTCGATTAGACAAGAAGATTAGTTAAGGGCTAAGGGCATGCCTCCAATCTCACTATTAGTTGGGCTTACGAGAGACTAGCTACATTTCCTTGATCTGTCTTTGCGCCAATGCATTCTTTATTTTATCTTTATTGTAAAACTTTGTTGTAGGCAGGAAATAAAAATACTAACAATTAGTTCTCCTATACCCCTCAAAACAGTATGTGGTCCCCTTTAGTTCATGTACTCCCGAAAGGTAAATCTAGAAAGAGACGCTGCGAGAAATGACGAGATCAATTGTTTTATTATGTCATATGTATTGTGACAACCAGTATGTGCCTCATGAAATATGTGGGCCAGACACGTAGTCCAAGTTTAGGGGGATTTAAAATTGCCATGCCGGCTCAGAAATTTGAATTTGGGAGGTCCAGCCCTGGCTGTGCCACTGACGCCACATTATGATAGTTTCCGTAACTTATTGTTAGATGAAATTTTTATCACTGTTTCATAGTTTTTTTTGCATTAATTCAAGATATAACTGATCACGAAAAAAACGTGGTGGCTGGTAGGGCCTGGAGTTTCGAAACAGTGGTATGTCGAAATAGTGACCTATTTTTCTGATTGTTAACTAGATTTCTTTCACTTACATGTACAAGCATGTGAAATTTCACTTGTACAATCTGTTTTTGTATTAATCGCATGCTATTTGGTCACTGATTAATTTGTCTCCAGAAACTTAATCATGTGAAACCATTCAGGCTTTTTAATGTTGTGACTACAAGAGGGCGGGTTCCAAACGATTCGTGCCTCCAATGATACATTATTTTAAAATGACTTGCAAGCGAAAAGTTTCAAGCAAGATTAATTCATTTAGATGATGACTTGCAGCAGACTATTACTAAAACAGAAGACTCCAAATCATCACTGAATATTGTACAACTAGGGTGTATTGGTGAGTCAGCCTGTCCAAAAAATGTTAGATTTGAAAATGTGGAGACCCACGGTCATGGATAAATGGGTACTCCTATAGTATGGGAACCAAGGTTGCGGACACCGGAACGTAGTATGTGTACGAGGTTAGAGTTGGGCCATAATTTTCGGTGTCCGTCATCTTGGTTCACGTACTGCGGGAGTACCGATATATGACACTGTTATGTCGCTGCTATCTGTGTTGGGATTCAATGTTTCAGTAAAATACTCCGATTACATATATATACGTAACAAATGAATATATCCATTTTATTACTTCGACTTGTTTGTTATCGCATCTTAGATGAAAATACGATTTGGAGGATGTGTAAACAAATATCAAGTACACACTTGAATTGAAATATACTTTTGAATTCCACTTGTTGTTGGAAAACAGTGGCTGATACAACAGAGCTATGATGTGAAATACATGGTGGACACTTCGTCATCTTGCATCTGGAGCATTCTTACGAATTGTACTCGATTTGACCAATTTTTGAATCAATAGACCTAGACTGCATGACATATTACATTTTTTTTTATTCTGGTCTTTTTTCTTCAGATATCCTCGGTGAAAAGGTTTTCAATGATCTTTCGTCACTTTTCAAAAAAGGATTGACATTTAGCGAAGCTCTAAACAACCTTGATACATACAAGGTAGACAAAGAAGCTCTACAAGCATGCTATATCCTGCTTGAAAAGCAATCATAATTTTTCTTGGATATGCCCACAAATTGGATTCTGAAACATAACAGTGACAGCGAACTGGGTAGTTCTAAATAAAAAGTACCGTTAATACTTATCCAATCTGAAATATTCAACTATACCCGGCCGGTTTTGCTATTTTAAAATGCCATGGCTGTTTTTTTCACAGCCTTCACCCAACCGACCGTATGTGTTTGTATATTCTTAAATGATAACTTTTATCATCAGACTGTGAAATCAAACATGTTTATTTTTATCTTTAATTAAATTAAATTCAAGATTTTTATTTTTAAGTATAATGTCTATCTAATATAATATTGATTTATTGAGTGATGAAATACTGTGAATTGGTTACTTTTTGTAAAAGCAGAATGTTTGAATACAACAACGTTTAAAATATTAATACTCAAGTGGGTTAACAACCAATTTTGTAAAATTTGTTTTCATTTACAGTCAGTGTACAGTGTTCGATGTTCACAGACATGGCAGATGGTGGTAGTTGTTACCAGTGTTCGTTGAGGCTCTGGTAGAATGGGCAATGAATAATTATTTACTATTCTAGAATAGTTAAATCGGATCCTATTCTTTCATACTTATTCAAATAGTGGGAGTTTTCCACATTGCTAGATTTAAATGTTAAAAAATTGTAAATGTATTACTATAGTATAAATGTATATTTATTTGGAAATAACTTTAACATTGGATTTTATTTGATACTCAACAGGCATTTCCCATGACAATAAAATCTAAGAATATTACAATATTTTTGCTTTCAATTGTCCCAAATATATGTAATCCCTAAATACTGATATGCTAAATTAAGATGCGCTTTACACCCTTTAATAGTAAGCGGTTAAATACAAAAATATATATGAAACGACATTAAATCATTAGGAAAGTTGCCGAGTGTACTAAAAAAAACACACGCGCTGAGAATTAATTAGATGCAGGACCAGCGTATGACCACTGCAACCTATGCGGCGGTTGTAAAATATTAAATTTAATCACTATCAATTAAAATCAACTTTTTATTCTATTTCATTTTCTATTAATATCGTTAAATATCATATCTAGCCAGACTTGGCCCTACCTAAACTTAATACGTAACTATCTCCGCCAGATGCGGCATCATTTTTTTTAGTTTATCGGCGACTGAAATATACATACACTCGATCAAACGTGCGTCTATCTTGAACGATAGAAACTGAACGAAAAATATGTAATCTTTTGAAAGTGAAATTTGAATGTGACAGATTGTTGCGTTTTGCGATATAACTTTGTATTTCGGAAAGGGGGGTAATAAAATTATTCGTAAATAATATTTGATTCAAATTAATCGCAAGTAATGTCATAACATTTTTTTATATGGGTATTATGGATACACATTGATATATACTGAAATAAGTGAAATTTAAAAATTTAATCGGACAGAGAAGAGAAATGAAGAACAGGTAAATAGAAAAGTGAAAAGAAGCTTTCAGAAAAGATCGGCGTATTATTGTTTTAAATTTGATATTGACAGTCAAAACGATGATTTCAATTTAACATATTTCATCACACCTTAACCTTACAACTCGCAAGTAATGGCTTAGTTAACCTTGATATCGGATATCATCAGTAGCCTAATTAGTAGCACATTTTTAAGCCACTAATTATGGTTATTGTTTACCATTTGAGATTCCAGCCTACATATACGAATGCCGTCAATCATGTTTTGTCGACGTACGATTGAATCATCTCATTGGCATACGCAACCAGTATAACCCATAGAAGTTGGTCGCAAGATAGTAAAGTTCAGTGTGGCGATCGGGTCGTGAATAGAGCGCCGTTAGGTCAGGTACTGAATAGTATAGCACCGTAGGTCAAAGATAGGTAAGTTGTGGCAGATAGGGCGGTGGATCGAGGATACGTAGGTTGAGGGAGATAGGGCATGCAGTTGGTCGAGAAGGAAAGGTTGAGGGAGATAGAACGGTGGTTCGGGGATGCGAAAGTTGGGGAGATAGGGCAGTGGGTCGAGGATAGGCAGATAGCGTAGTGGGTCAAGGATAGGAAGGTTGAGGGAGATAGGGCAGTGAGTCGAGGATAGGCAGATAGCGTAGTGGGTCAAGGATAGGAAGGTTGAGGGAGATAGGGCAGTGAGTCGAGGATAGGAAAGTTGAGAGAGGTCGGGCAGTGGGTCGAGGATAGGTAAGTAGATGGAGATAGGGCATTGGGCCGCGGACAGTTTTCAAGTAGACGAATTGCTCGCGGAGGCCCTAAGTATCTTTAACGGAGTTCTGAGGCTCCGTACGGAGCGCTTTGAGAACCTAAAGTCTACGTAGTAGGATATAACAATGCAAACAACTAAGTAACGAATGTTTCCCCGACTTTTGATCTCTTGAATTCTTCCTCTTTACACTCTACCATTGCAAAATTATTGTTACTTATTTTATGAACGGTTTTGCGAGTTCAGGACTTATATTTACCAAAACACAACTAAAATCTAACAAATAACACACAACCATGAAAATCTGTCTGAATGACTAAATCAGTGGTCGGCAACCACCGGCCGTCGCCGGTCCGCGGAAAGGTTATTACCGGTCCGCAGAAACGTGACGCAAAAGACGGACAACGTCCTAATAACAACCTCTTCAGTTGATTGAAATTTCAAACAATATTGAGTTGAAAAGAGTCTTTGCGATTTATAGGGTAGCTACTTTGGCAACATTTTGGGCAATACTGCTATCTGAATACCCCAGCATTGCAAAAAAGCTTTTACAGGCATTTTTACATTTATGTGAGATCGGGTTTTCAAAATTGACAACTACAAAATCGCAGTAGGCTAAAAGTAAGAAATACGTTACTTGAATAACATCACTTTTATTTTTAAGTTTAATATTAACCTAAATTTAAAACGTTTATGGTTACGTGAAATTCTGCACTTATGCTGATTGGCTAATGTTACGGCAGTAAATGAGGAAGTCTAAACTCGGGGAAAAATTCATAATTATAATTAGAGTTTTATATAGTTGTTATAGCTAAATTCGGTACATAGACGCGATGCTTATATTTATGGTAAATTTAAATTGTTTTGCGACTCAGCGTGGAGAGCTCCGCGACCCAAACTTGGGTCGCGACCCCGTATTTGCGGACCCCTGATCTAGAGTGACAACGATAGTGCCTTTTTCAAATATGAACCCACAACAATTCTTTATGACGTCATAATAGACTTTTAATGGTTATGAAAAAAAAAATGTGATATGGCGTCATAAATAAAATTTTGAATTGGGTGGAATCAAAAATTTTAACTACAGGTAAGATACGTACTCCAACCACTCAAGTAGGTTGGATAGTAAGTTGAATTAAAGAACTCCTTAATTAATAATTTCAAAACTGTAATAAAACTCGAAATTCGACGTCATAATTCTCATTATAGTCGCGTGAGGTGGCAAGGCATGGATAATAAATAAAAGATTACTGATAAAAATAATCTTTACATTTTTTGAAATAAACTGGTCTACTATAACAAAAAGATCAGAAATAGTAAAAAATATAATAATTATTAGATTCGTTGTTTTTAAGTTTAATTATTATATATACTATCCATCCATATTTCCGTGACTTTGTTAAAATATATAAGCATTGTTACTTTGAGCACTGTTTACTAAATATAAATAAATTTTTAAGGTTAGAGGGGTAGGGTTATTCAAATTTCGACAAATTCATTTATTCGGTCGCATTTATTTTTTACCCACCTAAACGATAAATATTTGGGACAACAAGATTAAATAGTTGAGCAAGTATCATTTTTTGACATTTTAAGCCGGTTTTATTCTTGAATAAGCTTTTCCATTTCGAAAACGATTTTAAAATAAATAAAATTTCAAAAATGAATGACGCTGCCTCTAAGAACCGTGCCTAATGGTAAACCTGACACCGCCAATCGGACATTTCCTTTGCTCAGACAGATATAGATAGATAGATAGTCTATTCCAGGGGTGGCCAACCTTTCACATACCATGCGCCACGTTTTGAACATAATGTTTCAGATGCGCCGTAAATCTCTTGTATTCCCACGCCTAATGTCCGCTTCTTGTTGTTCTCTTTTGTTCATTTTCTTTCGCACTGTGTTGGGTAACAAAATATATAAAAGCAAAGCTTAATGCTTAAATCTCGAAAAGTACACAACTGCAAATGTTTACAAACAAAAATCAACCTTAATACACGCCTTTACACACATAAGAAGAAACTTTACCAATTTAGTTTACAGAAAACCACTCATTTAGAGAATTACCGAATCACTGAATTAAACACTGAATGAATAAATTTCAATGACAGCCGCATATATATAATTAACTCAACGAAAATTCTCGTATTCACGCAAAAATTCGAGAAATTTACGATAAACAGATTACGATTGATTACGAAACAGGGAACCATTGTGACGCCATGCTTCAAGTAAAAACTACAGCCTTCCTGAAAGTAGCAGAAAAACGCATTCTGTCTTATGAACATTACGCAATAAAGCTGTTTTTAACAACGAAGAGAAAAAGGTACGATTAAGAAGTAAAGTTATGCGTAATATTGTGACAACAGGCCTTTAGTATCAATATCTACTCTACTCTACTCTCGATTCTAATTGGCCTTTGCTAATCAGCTGTTTGGCCTAGCGTCGCGTGATTTTACTCCAGGCTTCCTCGAGATTAGTACTTGCGTCACAGCAAGCGATTTTACGCTTCGCTTTTGTTGACAACGGTCATTTGAAGTTTGGATGAAAAAGGTGGTATTTAGGGGTCATTTTCAGCATATTGTGGGTTGATTTATAATAATTTTTTTAGGCTTGGGCAATTCAACTGGTTGTTTAATGGGTATTGGGAGATATTTGGGAAGTCTGGGCAATGGAAAATCCATGTTTCAAGCTGATAAATGACGATTTTCGATTTTTCCAGAAGTTCTGAACTTTTTACTTCAGTAGGGAAAAAATAGTAAATTTTACTAATTTTTGCTAAAAGTCTAGAATGAATGTCATAAAGTCCGTCCAAAAGCTAACGTCGATAATCGCCTGTTGTTTCTAATTCCAGCATGCCGTAAGTGGGCGACGTGGAGTAAGGAGAATAGATTTTAAGTACAATCAAAAGTCGCCATGTAAATCGCAAAAAAAAGCTTGGCGTGGAGAAGCCAAGTGCAATTAACAATTTTGGCATGAAAAGGGTTAAAGATGCAATGCGCCACCTCTTATCATACAATGCGCCACGTTTGGCGCATGCGCCATAGGTTGGCCACCCCTGGTCTATTCGAATACTTCATAATATACACAAAATATAAATGGAAAATTCTGGTGGGCGAGCAAAACCTTTCAAAAATTTTAAAACATGGGAAATATCATGTGCTCGCTCACCAGCACACACACACAAAAATAAATGACGAAAAACACAAACCCAGTTAATTAAAACAGGG